TGAGTGATGGCGTCTGCCAGTTTATTGCACGCGACGACCTAAGTAATTTGTGAAGAAGAGAGAGTGAGAGTACAATTAAGCAAGCTCTCTCTGGTACGTCATTGACAGGAACGACGCCGCGGTGCCCCGCATGTGGCCGCTTGTTTGTATATTTTATACGTGTACTGCTAGCATTATTTATTCTGTGTGTGTCGTGTGACTCCCTGTGTTGTTGAGCATTCCACGGAAGAAAAAAGGAAAGTGCGCACGCAAAAAAGAAAGAAACGCAAAAGCAGAAGCAACAGAAAGAGTTAATACGGCAAACGGGAGTACGTCTATGAGAAGAGGGGATAGTCCGTCAGCCATTTCCACCTCCCGTGTCTCTATTAGAGTGCTTATTACGCAGAATCATAGGAATCTTTGCTTTAGTGAAAGAGTCTTTACTGCCTGGAGGTACGATTAACGTAACAAGGCTAAAGGATGATAAAAGATCGGTTAAAGAAAAATGATCCTGTGATATTTCAGTTGCAATTTAATTTTTGGTTCCGTTTTTCCATACCTAACTTTTTTCTTTATCCTTTCAACATGCGTGTTGAATAAGTACGCTACATCATATACATAGTGTACGTACCATCTTGAAGCAGCGTGTGAAACGGATGTATAAAGCTACCGAGGTGAGTGTAAAATTCTTTATTTTATAAAGTACTTTACTTTACGCTTAATCGTAGTTATTCTTTCATGGAGCATGCCCTTCGGTTCGTTCTTGTGTTTCTCGTGTACCGCGCCCCTTAATTTCGCGCTTGCGTGATACATACTGCAAGTCTATGGGAGAAGTCGGGAGTATATAACCTTTTTTCCTTTTCTTTTTTTTCATCCTTTAAGATACTGAGGTGCAAGATTGATTTCGCCGAGTTGTGCTTGTCGTTATTGCTTTTCCAATATTAGCATTCCTAGTATAGGCTATGGTTTTAAATCTCAAAGAATAGAGCGTCGAAAAAAAGAAAAAATCATAGTTTTGAATGGCAGGGATTGGCATTCAGCTGTCAACCTCAAGAGGCAATTAATGTGTGACGCCGTTACGATGGGTGTGTCGTCTACCGTTGACAAAATGTAGAAACTGGTACCACACACAATAATGTACAAACGCGCGCGCGCGCGCGTAATAGAGGAGAATATTGTAGATGATAATTTGTATTCATGGTCCTTCAACTTTTCTAGAATTTATGTTCACTATAACATTAAATGCGTTAATTGAAAAGCTGTTATAATATCATATGCATGCGCGTGAATGTTCATACGTCGGGGTTTGACGAAATTCCGTAATATACTCTTGTAGCTCATTGACAATTGAGTATATTGGGTCGTTGACCATTGTGGTTGTATTTGCGCATCCGTACATGCAGTATATAAACACATGACTGTGCGTTTACAACCACATTGCAAATAATTTATCTGTTGATCGCAATGCAAGAACGGAATGCAGTCACTATCGTAGTGTAGCCTACATTCTCTTGACTTGTTGGTAAGCTACAGCGCGATAGAAAGTGAAAGAGAGAGAGAGAGAGAGAGAGAGAGAGAGAGAGAGGGAGAGAGAGAAATTCAAATTGTAAATGGTGAGCAAACTTTCACGTCCTGTTGCCATTTTTATTCAATGATTTTTGTTGCTTTCTCAATGTCCTTCACTTAATATCTCTCTCGTTCTCTCGTTCGTGTACACTCATGTTTGTGTGGATACGGCCGTACAATATACGCGAATTTACCTTTGCAGGCGATACGAGTATATTTTTTTTGTATTTTAGTTGACCTCCAATTTTCTGTCTTATCCAACAAATTGTATATATATATATATATATATATATATATATATATATATGTAGAATAAATGCACGCGAAGATTTAAGGGATGCTCTTCGGGTTATTAAAATTGTAGTTATAATTTTCATGTCGAAATGGATACTATGAATAACATAACTAATATCTTCAAAGCATTTTTCTATTACGGCACGTTGAGCTTAGTGCATGTAAATTTTAAGAATATTTTTATTTTAGATTCATTATGCAGAATCGGTAGGGCGTATTATCTTATGAATTTAATTAATTTATGCTGTATATATATAACGTGTGATTAATCAAAGAATTTTATGGTTCTTCTATGAGAATTATCTACGCTGTATTAACAAATTAAAAAATAATTAATTGAAAGGAAAATTTTCGGGTAATTTATCTTCCCTATATATAGGTTCAAAAATAACGATTGAAAAAAAAATATAAAACAATTTTATTTTGGTATTTTATATTTAGTTTCTTATAAAAACTAAAAATATTCATATCAAAACAAGGAAAACATTTATATACTTTAAATTCATGTACATCTAATTAGTAATTTTAAATATAAAGCATAAAAACTTTTATTATATTCCAATTTTTATTGTATAAAGTGATTTTTTCAAATACAGAAGTTTATTATTATATGAAATGGTTATAAATAACATTATAAATATTTTATTAAAAATCATTAAATAGGTTAAAAAATTATTTTCAATTGCTCTTTTTTGTAGGCAAAATAATAGTAAATAGAGGCCCATGTATAATTTGATATTAATTTTTGGAAATTGTAATTCTAATGTAAAAGAGCAAGGAAAGTCTTCTACAGTTATCTGTTAGGAAGTTTTTTTTTTATTTAATATATTTGTCAATAAAAAAAGATAAAAATAAGATTAATTTATTTTTCATCTACATTTAAAAATGATCTTTTATTATTTTTTTATCTATCATTAAACTAAAATAAAAATAATTTTTTAAATATTTTGTATATTTTTTAAAATATTGTTTTTTAATATAAAAATTTATATAATTTTCTTAATATTTCTTATTTTGGAGGAAATAAAATCATTGACAAACCAAAATTAACTATTATATTTTGAATGTAATATGTAATGTGATCAAAATAATTAAAAATGTACATTTGAAAAGTGTAAAAAATTCATTGTTCTAATTATCTATTTCTTCTTCGAGTTATAATTGTGCAAAATATGACCTCTATTTCAATGAGTGATTTTTCAAAAGTTATAGTTCATTTAACACATATAATTTATAAGTTTTCAAAATTTTGGAATGTAATTGAGTATTTGTATTAATAGCTTTAAAAGCTATTCGTGATAAGGTATTTTTAATAATTATTTTGAAAAGAACTAATTATCACTTTCTAAAGCCACATACATCTTTTTCTATAAGACTTCTATAAAACGTTTTTATATTATATATATATATATATATATATATAGTCAATGTAAATATTTATGTACTTTATTAAAACAAAAATTGAATATTTGCTTATTTGTTTTAAGAGCCTTTATAACTTATTTTATAAATTAAAATCGAATAATTCAAACATTGCAATATTTCATTGGAATGATTTCTAGGCACGTGTTTCTAATGATGTATCTATTATAGATACGTTCTTTCCTTATTACTTCTAGGAAATAATTTATTTTCTTGATGACTATTAAAATTGAGTGTTGAAATCATACAGTTAGTAATTTATGCCTTCGTTTTATTTTATTTACATTTTATTAGCTTTATTTAAAATTTTATTATCCATTAAAATAGGTTAGATAATTATTTTTATGTTTTTTTAATTAGATTTTATATTAATATGTATTGACTATGTTTATTATTATTTATATATTTTTTGCCAATATAAAAATATTTTTCATTAATATTTTAAATTACCAAAATAATATATTATATAATATAATGTTTTTAAAATTAATTTTTTTTTAATCTTATGCAGTCCCATTCAATTCTATTAAAATTCTTAATTAATATTTATTTATTTTGAATGTGTCATCCTTTATACATTTATCTCATATTTATCTTTACATTCATAGGTTTGCTTACTTTTTGTTTACATAAAATATTTTTTATATTATATTATTGTACAAATAAAAATAGATATTATTTCAATTTTGTTGCAATGAATTTAAACGATAACAGTATATTGCTCAGGAGTAAAGTTTTTTCAATTGTAGAATGGTAGGTAATTACAATATTTTAAGTTTATCTTATGAATATTATATTATGTTTTAATATTATGTATTTAAAACTAAATTTTAAAAAATCTGTAACAAGATAATTTATGAAGAAAATAATGTGAAAAATGATAATTTTATATAAGATGAATAAATTCACTTTTCTCATCGATATCAATTTTTAATTGTTATAAAGATTTTTATAAAAATATTTAAAAGTACATTTAAACATACTGTAATACTAAAAATACATTACAAATATACGGATCAAAGAAACTGAAATATATAGATTAAGTTAATAAGTATTGCTTGAGTATTAAAAAGAAAGAATTATCTACCAACAATTATTTTAATGCGAAGATAAAATGATTCAACACTTATTAATAAGTTTTGTGTTTAAAAGGTAGAGAAACTAACATCTTACATATGTAATTGTAAAATTTAAGAAAAGTACTAATGTTTAAATACTTACATTACGACTAATTTAATTATTTTTATTTTTGTTGTTTTCTTTTTTTAAATTGACTATTGTAATAAAATATTATTGCTTATAATTTAATAGTATTACTAATTTTATATTTCTAAATGAAAATGATTGACTTATATTGGCTTACTGTTCTATTTGTAAATTTTATTTGTTTTATAAATCGTAAAATTTAAGATGAATATACAATTTTAAATAAATTTAATGAACAGTACGATTTTAATGAAATTAATATTTTATTGAACAGTAGGAAATTGGTAAGATGAAACATTTTGGGAGAAGTTTTAAAATTAAAATTATTTTTCTTACATTTTATAATATTATAACGTATATATAATATAAAATAGTAATTTTTAAGTAAAATTAAATGAGTCAAAATAAATAATATTGCCAGTACATTTTCAATATTAAAGTCACTCCCTTGTTTTATTAACGATTTAGTTTAGTTTTATTTATCTTTTTTTTCTCTAATTTAGTTATATTTTTAATATAATTTTTTCAGATAATTCATCATGTATCTCAGATGACTATTGGTGAATTAAATGCTCATTAGGCTTTACTATGAGCGAGATAATAGCTGTGCCAGTGTCCAGTAGTGGACAAACTCGTCAAGAAAATGTTACACACTTGAAGAGACACAAATTAAGTGGATGCAATGTTCCACTTGTTCACGGCAGACCGAATCCACCGGTCATTACGCGCAATAGATTAACAGCGCATCAACGAAATCACAGTTTAGATTTTAGGTATGAGCTTGTTATTTGTTAAAATATGAAGTTGAATTAGAAGAATTAGTATACTTGTTTCCTGAAAATAATGTTTTATAGAAAAACTATTAACAATAACAAATTTTGCCTTATCCTATTATGGAATTGTAGATACAAGTATAAACATATATTTTAACGTCCCATTTCCAATACATTATTTATATTGTTAAACTAGGTCAATGGGTATCTTGTTACCACCTGTCCCTCAGGCAACTGTGACAACTTTAACATTACATCATAGAAATCGAAGTTTAGATTCTGCTTTACAACGAATTCCCGAAGTAGATATTATATCAAGTCCAGAATGCGAGATAAATACAACGCCAGCAACTAAATCTGTAACAAGTCATAAAAACCAAAGTAGGGAGCGCGATGATCTTGCTAGTTTGGGTTCTGACGATTCTGGAATATTGTGTGGCTCTGATAGTGGTTCTAGCGATACTGCAAATATTACAACAAGGTATTCATCTTAATATTTTAAATAATTATTTGTATTATTAATATATATATACATCTATTTTTTTTAATATTTTAAAAAATATATGTGTTTCAAAGTATTTTTAAATGTATTGTTTCAATTAGATAATTTAAAAATTTTTCAAATAGAATTCTTAAAGTTCTTTAAGCTAAACTCTTATAGTTTTTTTATTCGTTCGGATATGCCATTATAAATGTATTTAGAAGAAGCAATATATAAAAAGTTTATTTTATTATAAGAAAATTTTCGATGATGGTTTTCACGTATTTCGAATGTCTATATCAGAAACTTATAAGTATTTCTCAACATTCTAAAATATTGATCAAAATGCATCATTTGTAATTAAAAGATTTAATATTCTATTTTTATATATTCTTTCAGAGGGTCGAGCACAGATCACTTACACAGCAGGGAAAGCTTGGATTCATCATTATCACAAGTTGGAGATATAGATGTTGATGTTATTGATGGAGAACTTTGTAATCTATCAATATCTCCCGTACAGTTGATGATTGGTGAGTCTGTAGAAAACGATCAAGCAAATAGCGTTGGCTGCGATCCCAAGCAAAAGAAATACGAATGTGCGTCCAATGAATTGCAAAATATTTGCGATTATTCGGTCAAAGAAGTTCGCGATACAGAGTCTGGATCTTCAAATGTTCAGGGCACTTTGGACATCGCTGTGGTACCACGGGATCTGTCGGGTGCAGCAATGACGTTATGCTGTGGCACTGGACAACCAGAAGTATACACTGTGAAGAACGAGCCAAAAGTAAAGAGACAAGAGACTGTGCAGCCTAAACCTTCAGAAGGATACTTGCTTAGGTTATTTGAATGTCAAGTCTTTGACATGTCCATGGCCATATCTTATTTATTTAATTCAAAAGAGCCAGGTGTTCAGAGTTATTTGGGTGAGCATCAGTTTATTTATTAATGTTCTACGATTACAAATTTAGTGCATTATGTGTATTTAGAAAAGTATGTAAAAGCTAGAATTTGTTTCCTAAATCAATTTTTCTTTAATTTTTTTTGGTAAAATAAAATGCAAAACTCTGTACATTTCGATACTTTCACCATAAACAATTACTTTTTTCCTTATTTATTTATTTTTATAAAATTTATTGGTATTATGAATGTCCTCATTACTGTTTAATAATATTGTTTTTTTAATATACTTATATTTATTTAAATTTGAGTCAGCAGTAAAGAAAATTTTTTTACGAGTAACCTTTATTAACATCTTATTTTAATAAAAAAGTAATTAATTGTAATATAAAAGAATGCGTAATACATACTATAATATAAACGAATTCTAATTTGATTAAATATTTTTTTTATAAATAAAATTTTTTTTAATATTTGTATGTGAGATTTTCAGGTAATAAGTTATTTAGCTTTCCTGATAATGATGTGGACTTCTATTTACCACAGTTGGTTTTAATGTACATACAATTGCACGATCTTACAGAAGTTCTTTATCCATATCTTGTTCATAGGTATATTAAATAAAATAATACGAAATTATTTTATAAAATAATAATATTGTTTTATTACGTTTCTTTTTGTTTTAGGTGTAGGCATTCAGTAGATTTTTCATTAAAGTGTGCTTGGTTATTAGATGCATACAGTTCAGATGCTCATTTGCCATCAAAAAAGGAATCTCACGGGCCTAAGTTGAAAAATTTGATACTTTCAGATGAACTTAGGTAAAGAAAAAATGTATTTAATATTGAGAAAAATATTTATCGAAATTTTTATGAAATAAGATTTCAAATATTTTAGACCAAAAGGAAAGAATCGTCCTATTGGATTTCAAGTTCCGCTTGCATCTTCTTTATCTATCATTCAAACTGTACCATCTCCTAACAAAAAAACCCACCAAAGATCTCAATCTGATGCCACTGGCTTATTTCAAAGTCTGCGTCGTAGTCATTCCGGTAAATAATAATTTAAACAGTATTTTCAATAATAAATATCAATGTGAATTAATTGACTATAAGAACAATTTTTATTTGGATTTTTTAAGACATGCTTTTTAAGATATATGCCACTATTTTTATATTTATTATTTTGTGAATCCAAACAGGTATGTACTTAAATAATCGATTTGTGTTAATCCAAAATTGTTAATTTGTTTTAATATTTATTTGGATTATGTTTTTATATCATATTAATTAAAGTGTTAATGTTTATAAAATACATAATTTAGGTCCAGTAAATAGAATTTGTCTTGGAAACCTTAGTTCTGGTAGAGCTTTTAATAATGGATGTACTTGCTTTAATTCCTGCCAAGGAGTGGTAAATGATTTACGAGGTCAGAAGACTGATTGTATCTGCAATGTTAGTCTTTATCGTAATTAATTTTTACATAAAACTTTAATATTTATTCGTCTTCATTATTTATAATATAAAATTGTATAATTATTAGGCACCTCGACTCGCACCGGAGCTTGAGTTCATTCGGGCATTGATAACAATCGGAAAGCTGCTTGGAATAATACCTACAAAAGAAGGGAAAACTGTTCAACTTGTTGCCCAGCTCAATACATTGAATTTAAACCTTCCAGCAAGGGTGTGGATTCCGTTACATTCAACTGTACCTCATCACATTGTTAGAGTCCCGCCACAGTATGCAGCAGTATTGAATAGCAAAGATAAAGTAATAAATAATCGAATTTTATCAAATACCTTCATTCTTATTTACGTATAATAGTAATTTTTAAAGGGTTTCCGGAAATGATTTAATGTATACAATTTATCCAATTAAATATATTTATTTAAAGTAGTAAATATGTAAAATATTTATTTTAACATGATTAATTGTAGTTAGTGTTTTTCATGTTAAAATTATTTTAAAATTTATATTTTAATTATAAATTTGAATTCAAATTTTATTCATAAATATTTGTAATTTTTTTAATTCGTATAGTAATTATTTTCATAACATATAATTACTTAATTTAATTACTTAATTTGAAAAGTAATAAAAAGTGTTATGTAAAAAGTATTTATAGTACTATATTAATAACAGTAGATTGTTTGTAGGCTCCATATATAATATATGTAGAAGTTCTTGAAGTCGATGATTTGTATACATCACCAGTGCCAACTAAAATAATGGGAAGTTCATTACGACATACGAAATCCGAAGAAAATTTAACTGGTGGTGAATCATCAGATAAAACTAATGTGCCAAGTGAAGAGACTCAACAATCGTTACTATCTATGAAACAAACTTCAATTAAAACAAGCTACACAAAGAATCCTGACGTATCGTTTAACTTTATTGATGATGACCCCAACGACTGTTGGAGTCAAGAAGATGATGAAATTATGCAACAAGTAAATATGTGTATATTTTTTATTTTTTTCTGTTTATTAAAATCAAATTTCAAATGATTTTACATTATAAACTATGTACTCAGATGAAAATACCAATTTTAATTTATTAGAATAAGTTCCAAAGAAAATAAAAACAAATTAATTTAAATTTTCATACAGATATTTCCAAACAGATACTTATTTTCACATTAGATTAAAACAATAGAGAATACTGTAATGTAAATATAGAAAATTTATTTAAATTTTAAAATTCAAATTCATCAACTTGTAAAAGTAATGTTCCTAAAAGTATACTCTTCCCTATCATTTAAAATATTTATCATTGGATTAAAATGAAAACATTCTAAATAAGTTTGTAGCTCGTAACCAATAAATTTATCCTTTAGTATCTACAGTTTCATAAAACAAAGGATAGGGATACAATATCTCAGCTAAGCCAGGATTCATGTAATAGTCGTGAACCAGTTTTCACTCTTGGTGACGTCAAGAGGCGTTTAACTGAAATGGCAGCAGCACCGAAGGTTACCTTCAGTCATGATCCGGAAGATCCATCGGCTGCCGTGTTGAAAGAACCTTGGGAGCAAAAACAGAGGCGTATACGAACTTCGAGTCCTTATGGACACTTGGCTTCGTGGCGACTGCTTGCAGTGATTGTAAAATGTGGTGATGATCTACGTCAAGAATTGCTAGCATCTCAACTTCTCATGATGCTTCAAAAAGTTTGGCAGGAAGAATGTCTCCCTTTATGGCTGCGTCCATATAAGTAAATTATTAGTAATTCTTTACTACTAAATTCTATTGTGCATGCGAGTATGTGATATATAGCATGGGTACAATTATGGTGAATACAGTTGAGAGCATTTGTTATGAAAGTAGAAAGTCCAACTTCCATTTATGTAAAAGTACTTTATTAAAATTATTTGCATCTAATTTAGTATTTATTTATATTAACTTTTGCATTCTTTTTCAATTACATAATAGTTTACATAAAAATTAATATTAAAATTGAGTGGTCATTTAGAAGGTATTCTAAATTTTAATTAAAGAAAATAAAGATTCTTTTATAGAAATTAAATTATATTAATTATATTAATTTAAAATACTAAAAAAATACTAAAAAGAAAAAATAAATAAATAAATCTGTTACTATTATAATTTTTTTGTAGTTCACACAATTAATATTATTACTTTGTAACAAAAGATTATACAGAATTAATAGGAAGGATAGAATACTAATATGATATGTAATAAGATTATAAATTATTGTACAAATTTGTGTAATAAATAATTTTTCAATCTATTTGTAATGATGTATAAATTCAACTTTAAATTGTACAAATATTGAATAGTTTTTCACCTTCGATATCTGAAGAATTGTTTAATAATATTAAAATATTACGATTTCATTATGATAAAATATATATTTTTATTAATATATATTTTATTAATTATTAATAAATGTAATTAAATTATTTATCATATAAAAACTTAACATTAACACTATCATAAAATATATTTGAGAATTTTATATAACTTTAATAAGAATGATTCATAGTAATATATTCTTTTTCTATTTTAGAATTCTTTGTCTTTCAAATGACAGTGGACTTATCGAACCAATATTGAACACAGTTTCTCTCCATCAAGTAAAGAAGCATTGTCAGTTAACCTTACTTCAATATTTTGAAAGAGAATTTGGCTCTATCAATTCCGATGCTTTCCTTATTGCACAAAAGAATTTTGTTCAGAGTTGTGCGGCTTATTGTCTTGTTAGTTACTTAATTCAAGTAAAAGATCGTCACAATGGTAACATATTATTGCATAGTGATGGACACCTAATTCACATTGATTTTGGTTTTATTTTGTCAACATCGCCTCGAAATCTTGGCTTTGAAACAAGTCCGTTTAAATTGACTCCAGAATTCGTTGAAGTAATGGGCGGAAATCAGTCGAAGATGTATATAGAATTTAAGATGTTAATTTTACAAGGTTTAATAGCTGCAAGGAAACATATGGAGAAAATAGTGAATCTTGTTGAAATAATGGTATCAGGTTAGTAAATTTATTTTTTGTTATACATATTTCATAGGAATTTTAAAAGAATATACTGTTAGAATTTCTTTTGGAATGCAATTGCAATTAAAATTATTGTTCATATTTTAAAAAATTAGTTATGACAATTAATGTTACGATAATAAAAAAATAAAAATTATTTTTACAATAATAAATTACTTATCCAATATTTTCAGTTATTGATTCTGAATAAGGAAAACACATTCAAAATAACGTATTTAACGTTTTATTATAACATTTTTAAGAATTAACAATTCTTACAGATTAATAATTGAATCATTGAAGTATAGATAAATTATTTAAGAAGATAAATATTTAATACTTCTAATAATTTTCTAACATTAAATAATTGCTTTTAAAAATTTTTTTTTTGTATTTTTTGTTTGTAATTTTGATCAAAAGATACTTTAATTTAGTAATTATAATAAAAAATAATACAATTACAAAAATTACATAAATTTTTTATTTCGTGTATACATTCAATGGATATTAGTGTACAATTCTTTACGTTTTATTAAATTTTATTAAATATATCCGAAATAATTCATAAAATAAAAATATAGTTAGGCTTATATTTTAAGGATATAAAATAACATTTCCAATTATGTACAGGCTCTCAGTTGCCATGCTTTCGTAATGGTGGTGCATCTACAGTTCAAGGTTTAAAAAATAGATGTCATCTTACTTTAACAGAAGATCAGTTGCGTAAGCATGTTGATTATTTAGTAGAAGGAAGTCTCCATTCGTGGTCCACAAAACTTTATGATAGATATCAATACTTTGCAAATGGCACTCTTTAAGGGTTAATATCTGTGTACAAGTTATCTTACCGATTTTCACATCTGTCAAGATTTTCGTTAAAACAGATTGATTTACGTTTTGTAAATGTTTCGTCATAATTTCGAAGAGATATACTTTAAAGCATTCCAAAAGCCAAAAAGTTTTATTGATGTATATTGAATAGTGGGTGAAGACTGAAAATATTTAGTAATTCACGTGTCGCAATTTTAAACTTTTAAAAAAAGAATAAATTGTGAAAAACACTTCTGAAAAGTAAATTTCAAAATTTATTAGTAATAGGGCAATTAAATTGCCCTATACCAGTAATACATAAACCAGTAATACATACATAAACCATATACCAGTAATACAAAGTTTCGATGAAGGTATAGTGAAAAATTAATAGCAATAAATAAAATATATACATTTATGATCGTTTCAAAAAGCTTTCATTTTGTTACATAGTCCTTGATATGTATGAAATTAAATTGACGTTACAAGATTACAGATCTGATACAAGAATGTAAATCTGTAATATTGTATGAAATGCTATTGTTGTCAGAGTAATTTGTTGAAGGTGCCTTATAACTATAACATGAAAATGAGATCAAATAGAGTTAAAAATAAAGTCATAAGTGCAGTGGATTGAATTGATTATCATTGTAAAGATACCGATCCGTTATATGTACATATTCATAAATTAAAAAAAGATGTCACAAGTATGTAGTTATCATTCAGTAAAGAATAATTCAATGAGTATGTGAGAGCAGATGAAATGCAATGAATATCTTTAAAGATTAAGGGTATTTAAAATATGGAGACAAATACTCAAAATATTTCCTACTTTATATATGTATAAATACAAAAACATTACTGTTGCCATTTACAGTGAAAGTATAATTTCAATAAAGGTAACAGTGATTGACTGTAATAATTTTTCAAATTTAGTATCATAAATTTTTGTATGTTCTTAATACATAATTTCATAGTTGTAAACTCATAAGCGCTAAGAATGATAGTTATTTAATAAAGAAAATAAAAATTTCAAGAATGCGATTTTTCATTTTTGTGTATGTTTGAGCAATTAAATTAAGCTTTAAAGAAAAAACTTATTGTACATATATAATTGAAATTAATTGTTTAGTATGTAATTATAAATGAATGTGCTTCATTAAGCTTAATCATAGCTATGGGAGGAAAAGTTCAAGTTTACCGTTTCAAGAAGTTTTATTAAGCTTTCGTGACTTTAAAGTATCTTATCTTCTTTTCTTTTATCTTTGTTGTCTCATTGATGGATGGACAGGCCAGCAATGTTGTAAGAGTGTACAGATGGCTTTAAAACGAAAAAATATACTAAGGAGACACGTTCCTAGTTTTTGTAAATTGAAAAGTCTTCTCATAATGTTAATTTTGTTTCTTCATTATGTTTCTGGTCTGTCTTGTATTTTGCTTCATTACAAGCTATTAATGACATTAAGTACTAATAAATATAAATTATAAGAAATTTAATTTTTTCATTATTTTCATGTTTTATTCCTATATTATTTTGTAACATTTCTTTTGAAAAATTATTCATAAATTCTATATATGTATAAGAAAGAAAAACAAATTTTAGAAATAATATATTTTTTTTATTTTACATAATTAAAATTATTGTTATATAATGTGTATTTTAAACATTATTTTCAATATGTATTTTTCAATCAATTCTCACAATAAAAGTAAAGTTCGTGTAACAAATTAAGTGATTTAGACTATATGTATATTCTATTTTTATTTTTATATTGAATTTTATAATGTGAATACTTTCAATTTACTTAAATTATTTAGTAATTAAACAATTTTATAAATATTTTATTATATCCTCACAATCAATATAATATCTCTTATATCCTCATCATCTTGCTGAAAAAAATCGAATATAATATAAAATGTATATTTAGAAAGCATTAATAAAATTATATATTATCTTATTAAATAAAACTAACTTTAAATTAAGTACTATTAACGAGTATCAGAAAATAAACGAAAAAAAGTAGTTCTGTAAATATTGCATTAAATTTTCGAATTTTAAGATGTCAATAAATTACTGCTTTTTTTTTATATATAATATATCATGTATATGTAGTAACAGCATTAAATGGAATAAGTTTTTTAACAATAATCAATTTTTATCACCCTTAAATAATTTGAATATTTTTAAAAACATGATAAAGATATTGAAAATAATTTTAAAAAAATTTGAAAAATGACAATTAAATTTTTTAAAGAAAGTTGCAGATCAAAACACTTTTTCTGATAATTTATGCTACAAAAATTACCTTTTCTTATATTCTAGATAGTTGCTGCAGAAGATTCGAGGGTAAAACTCCTTCCAGTTTATCAAGGACATAGTGGAATGGTAATGAAAACCAAGCCAGCAGAGCTCTCGCAACAATTCCCATAGTATCAGGGTATTGATGCGTGAGTAATGCTACTAAGGCTGTGAAAGAACACAGTCCAGCAGTAAAAAGAATAAAGAAGGGTAGTTCTTTTTTTGGATAAACACTTACATCATGAAACGAGGGTAAAAGTTCACGATCTGCACATTCAGTACATGTAGGATAAGGATAAAATAAATGTCCCCTTTCTAGTGGATATGGTAGCAATCTGAAGGTTCCTTCCCATGTGCAATGTAAAAGATTCAATGCTCCTTCCATTTGTTTCCAATGAGGAAGGTGAAAGAAGGCATAAGCTATTGCCTCTGAATCTCCTCTTTTAAGCACATGTTCAGGTGGTAAAATTAATGGTTTCATTTCCAGCAGGTATTTTGGAACATGTGGATTGAACTCTACGGCTCTATGAATTGCCTCAACTGCTGACATTTCTGCAGTTGTTAATCCTCTTTTGCTTGCAATATCTGGAGAAAATTTGTCTGCAACTAGTCTTGCTTTCAATAGTGCTGCAGTATAACAAATTGTTGCTGATTTTGGCAAGCTTATATCGTCGTATTTGGCTAACACTGCTTGTACATCTGCATATGCTTGCATTTCTAAAAGTGTCTCTATTAAATTCTCGTGAATATTAAGAACATTCATTATTGGAGGTACTTCTTTAGTCAAATCTCTGAACATTTTAACAGCTTCTTTTAATTTACCTAGTTTTCTGGCAGACATTGCTAATCTTCTTTTTACATAAATTAAAACATTTGTATCCCTTCTATGAATGGCTTCAGCAATAGAACCTTGATGTTGAGTATTTTGAGATTTTCTATAATTATTTTCTGCTACCTTAAGAGCTTGTTTAAGAATTTTTTCAGCTTCTAATATAGTTGTTGCTTCTTCTTCAGCAAGCAAAATATAAGCAGGTGTGCAGTCTGAATTACGTTCTAAAGCACTACGAGCTGCTTTTATACGCACAACTGGATTGCGTTCTCTCCATGCAGTTTGCATAATTTCATATTCTGCTTTACCAGTATCACCTTCACAAGTAAAAAATGTTTGATGATCTTGAGCTGACAAATTCATATCATAATAAGTTAATGGTTCTTTATTTGTAGCCCAATAAAATCTTTGATATTCTGCTCCTCTAAATAAATTAATCGGATTACGCCAAACTTTACACTCAGGCACATTTTGTTGATTGGAAGAATTTGTATTACTTATATTTGAACTGTTATTATCAGATCCACTATCTCCACCACCAATCCATGGAGAAATATGATTTAAAGATACTTGTTCAATAAACGATGTGCCATATTTTCTAAAATACCACCATTCAAAAATTAAAATCAAACCTGATATAAGTGAAGATGTTCCTGTAAGAGCTACATAAAATTTTGGCGTTAATGTACTCAGGAACATTGTTGAATCCCACATACTTGTAAATAATAGAGCCATTTAGATACATAAAATTGTTTTTAAATCAAATGTAGTTTAATGCTTTTATCCACAAAAATGTATACCTGTAAACAATGCAATACAATTAAAACTAACAGTAAAATTCTTTAAATTTAATCATATTTTTTAAAAATAATTTTAAAAAATATTTAATGCATTCATGCAATCATGAAGAAATATAAATAAAAAAACTATATTTTTTACATACATTTATATCATATTTTTATCACTTTTTTTGGTTATTTCAATTTCATGTTTTAACATTTCCAAATAATTTTTTCGAAAATAGAAACTAACACATTAATAATCATTAATTAATAATTTAGAAACGTTATTTCAACTTCATTGAAAATACAAAATTGATGTACTAAACCTTTTTCTGATTAGTTTCGAAATCATGCTATTAAAGAGTATCATACACATTATAACCTGTGAAAGCGCCTAAAATTAAAATCATAAATTTATTTCATCATTTTAATATTTCATAAAAGTTTTCACGTATCAATAACAAACTTCTTTTACTAATAAAAATCAGGTTATTATATATAAGTATAATTTATCTTCATTGTAATTTACGAAATAAAAAATTTTTATTTCACTTTAATTATATTTTTTGTTATGGTTAATGATAAATACTTAAATTCTTAACTTAATAAACTTAACTTAATAAATATTTAAAATTTTATTTCTTAAATTTTATAAAAAAATAATATGTAAACTCAAATATTCTTTTAACAGTGTACTAAATTTTATTTTATAACGGGGGTATGTACACAAATTTCGAGAAAGGTAAGTAATAAAAATTGTTAAAAATACCAGAAAAAATTGATCAAATTTTCTAACTTATACATAAATTTTTTAATTACTCTGATTATTTATTTTGATTAGAAAACGAAAATTATGAGAAAAAAACTATAAAGTAGAATTATAATACAATTATTAACAAAATGCAAAATATAAGGAAAATATTTAAGGAATAAAGACAAAAATATGTAATGCAGCAAAAATTTATAATAATAAATATATCCTTTTCAAACAGGTAATTAGAGCTTGTTGATTTTCAGTTTTATAATTTAACAAGATCTATTAGAATTTGGAGATACAATGTAAAATTAATAAAGCTTAATATAATATAATAGTCTCTTTATAGTAAAAAAATAATAAAAAATGTATAACTTTTTTATTTAATATTTTTATTTTAATTCTTTATTTTTTTCAAATATGAAGATAACATTTAAATGACCAAAAAGTAATTTTTGTATTTATATTGAATTTTGTAAAAATATTTAATATTTTACTGCGATTCTGTAATTTTAATAACGTGATTTTTATTATCAATTTCATTAATTTTTGATGTCGATATAATCATTTTCATTAGTATTTTATTTATTTTTCATACCAGTTGTATTTTTCTACTTTTATTCTTCCTATTATTTTCGTATTTTTGTTTAAAATTGTTATTATTCTTATTTAACATATTAATATATTCATGAAATTTTCTATATAGGTATAAGTATAACATACATTTTATATTGTAAAATTATTCTCAAAATACTTGAATTATTTACTACATTAATATATCTTCTTATTTATTCAGCTTTTATGATCAATTTTAATGTAAAAAGATATAAATGTTATTATAATGATAGAAGTTGTTGAAATATATTTACGATGCGGGGAAAATTAATATTATTTATCAGTCTAATAATTACTCATGATAAAATATTATAAAAATATGGTTATATAGATAATTTTAATTGATGCCTAGAGATTAGCCATTTCATTTATAAAATATAATTTTTTTAATGAATTTCAAGTTAATATGGTTTTTTAAAATTAAAATATTTATCTTTAATTTTAATTTTTAATAATTTTATTCATTTCGATTTTAATATTTTTTTACAATAAATTATACAATTTTGATAAGTTTCATTAAATCTTGGTCTAATTGTAACGATGAATTACAGATTTCAATGTTTTCTATTTTTTTATGTAGTTTCGCCTCATTTTTTACCCCTCATGTCGTCGTTGTTTTCATACTAGTTTTGTGAAGAGGTTATGTGGATTCGATTTTATATTTATGATAGACAGGTTTTTGAAATTTTGAAGTAGAAATTATAATTTTTTTTTTATTATCTGTACTATAATGATTGATATTACAGCCAAATTAGTAAATGGATCGACATTCTTTACTAGTGAAACTATTGAATGTATGATTACATTTAGTTGCCCAAAAAATAAATCTCTTGAAAAGGCTCAAAGCAATGAGTTTGTTATTTTATATTTTATTGTTAATAATTATAGTTTATAAATAACATTTTCTAATTATAACATTTAATATATTTCCAATGTTTATTTAGAATTTCACATGAAAATCTTGCATGGGCTAGTGCTCAAATACATTGCCAATGTTCAATAAATGAAAAATATATAATTGCTGATAAAGTGAAAGCAAATTATAAACCAACTACAGTGAATACCAGTATGTTTCTTTTTGTAAAATATATTTATATTTTTAAATTTTATAAATTACATATATTTAAAAATAAAAGATTAATTATATTCTTATATTATCTATTTTATGAAAATAATAGATACAACATTTGCTCCATCATCTTGTGATAATGGACATGATGTATTAAATACAAAGCCAAAAATATTGTTTTGTGATTTAAAAATATTACCAGGAGAAAGTAAATCTTGTATGTCAAATTTCAAAAATTAATTTTGTTTGAAATAAAATTTAGTTTTATATTAATGAATTAATCATGTATTTATTAATTTTAGTTACATATAAAGAAATTATTCCAAATAATTCTCCTCCATCCTACAGAGGACAAGCTGTTAAGTATTCATATAAGATAAGTATAGGTACTCAACGTGTTAATTCACCAACTAAATTATTAAGAATACCTTTTAGAGTATTGTCTTTAAAAGGTATTAAATTCCATATTTCAAAAATGTATTATTTTCCAAAATGCAATTAAAATATTATGTTTAACAAACAATTATTATTTTAGAGATACCTGATGGACCTATTTGTAGTGATGGCGTTGATTTAAGTCCTAGCAATCCATTTTTGGAGACACCAAAGGAATCTCCTGTTGAACTTGCTATGCAATCACTTCAGGTAATAGCTTATATTTTTTATTAGAGAAATATATCGCAGAAATAGTCAAATTAAATATATTTCTCGTTACAGAATATAACAGCTAGGCGTAATCCAAATTTTTATAATATAACAAATGGCCGTGGTAGAGTTGTAAGATTTTGTCTTTTTAAAAATTCCTACAAGCTTGGTGAAGATATAGTTGGAACTTTTGATTTTTCAAATGCTACGGTATCTTGTACTCAAGTTTCTGTTACTCTTCAGTCAGAAGAGCACATAGTAGAGGATTTCAAGAGAGGAAAAGCTCTACCAGCATTAAGTAGCTTCAATAAGCATCATGAAGTTGTTATTGGATTTTTATGTACTCATTTAATGTTGCCAATTCCCTTTCATATAACACCAGAGTTTAGTAGTGAATTAGTTAATTTAAAGTGGAAATTGCATTTTGAATTTGTAACAACAATGAAACCTATAGAACATCCAAATGAAGAGACTCTAAGTTGGCAAGCACCTTCAAGTGTAGATGTTGAAACAATGGTTTGGGATCTGCCAGTACATATTTATTCAACAACAATCCCACCAAATATTACACCTTTAGTGCAAAATAGTATAGTTATGTAAAGAAATATTAATCTATTTTATAATTTGTATATAATTTTCTAATACAGCAATTTCTGAATACAAAAAATATTTAAAAGAAATATAAACTATATTTTTCAAAGCAAATCTATTAATTTTATGGAATACATGAATTAAATCATTTATAAAATGTGAAGTGAAGTGAATGTGAAGAAGTGCAAAATGTTAAATATAATAAATAAATTGTTAAATAATAAATCGTTAGCTTGTACATAATAATTAAATACAAATAAAAACTATTAAAATTATTTTCATAAGCAATATTAATGAAATTATAAAGGAGTAATATTTAAGAATGTTCATATAAAAGAATTTTCAATTTCATATAATCAAAATATTAGCAGGATATCTGCATTTAGGATTTTATCAAAATTTAATATATTCTAATTTTTTAAATTGACATTATTATATAGATATTATACACTTAAACTATATTATTTTAATTTATTATAAAAGTTTTTATGTATGTCCATCCATAATTATTGATTTTTTTAATCTTATGAAAGATAGTGACAAAATTGTAAAAACTTTCTCAAGTATAATGGCAAAATAAATAAAAAAGAAATACAAATTATACAAAAAATATGGTTATTCCATACTTAAGTGAAGTAATATAATTTAATCTTTGTAATAAAATTAAATTAAATAAAATTATATTATGTTCAATTATTATATTAATCATAAAATAAATGTAATTTTTAGTAATTAAGAATTATTATTATTTGAATTTCTAAGTCGAAATAAACAAATGATTGAATAGTGAAATTAGAAATTAGTTTACACATTTAATAAATTAGCAAAAATCGTTTTTTTGAACTACTATATAACTTTTATCTAGTAAATATTTACAAACTTCAAATTAATTTTATTAATTAACGATTTCACATTATAAAAGATATAAAAAATATATAAAAAAAAATTTTATTTTAGAATTAAATTATTGAAGAGATATTAAAAAACCAAGTGTTCTTAAAACAGTGACATTTAACTCAATATGTTTTTTTCAATAGATTTAAAATGAATCAAATTTATGAAAATTGAATTTCGACAATATTATTTGTACAATGCCTGAGTATTAATACATGACATTAAAAATATATTATTGTATAATATGAATTTATAAAAGCTTTGAGCAGCATGTTTTAATTATCAACAATTTTAATTTTGTTTTATTACTAAAAACAAGTATTCCATAGTCTGTTAAAGTCTATTATAATGTATTTTTATTTTGTGAAAAAAGGTGTATTATATATTTATAGTAATAAAAGTATATTTTATTTATACAAAATAATAAATTGTTTTGTTTACTTTAGTTTTATTTTAAATTCACAAAGTTGAGAAATTCCTTTTATTAATAATTCCATTAAAATACAAAATAAAAATATTTTTATATCTTAACATATATTAATAAATATTTTATGACATAAAAAATTTATTTTTATTAGAAATGATGTTTGATGAATTTGATGTTTTAAACGTTTAAATTTAAAATAATAATGACAACATATAACATGTAAGATATAATAATAGAATTTAAAATAAAATACAATATATATTTTATTATGAAAATAAATTTTAATAATATTTTAATAATTAATGTTAATATTAACAAATATTAGCAATAAACAATAAATTATTTCATGATCAATAAAGTTCGTTCACAATTATTAGCATATTAACATTGCAAAGGTTTAAGGAAGTATTGTCTTAACAAAGAAAAAAAAAATTTTTATGTTATGTTGTATAAATATATATTTTATTTAATTATTTTTTTACATTGCTTTGATTGCTTTTTTTATAATAACAAAATGATTAAATTCTATAAAAAATATTAAAATGAAATTAAAAAAATCTTTTTAATAACATATTTTTTAATATATAGTTTTGTCTGAAAATTAGACTATTTTAAATGTACGTAATTTTTTTTTAATTAGAGAATAATAAAAATAACAAAATAAATATTTAATTTATGTTTAAGAGACAGCTTTTGTAAATATTTTTTAAATTAAGAAATATATGTATTGTAATGATATATTAATATTTTTGTAATTTTTTATATTATTTAAAAATAACACTATACTGTTACTTATAACTCTATCTAATATAAATTAAATTGAATATGAAATCGAACAAAATTTGAATTCACGTACATTGTTGGAATGCTTCTACAATTTATTTTTTATATTACGCATTTATGATTTTTACCATTTACAATAAATTATAATTAAGGAATTTCAATAAAAAGTATATTTTCTTTTTTATAGTTTATTTTTACTGATACAAAATGTTGAAATGTTTTGACACTGAATATTTGATAAATAGATTACATTAACGTAAGTTGAACGATAGAGAACATAAATATAATTTTGAATACATTTTTTTCTAAAATAATGTGCAATCGATAGGGTATATTATTTCTAAAGATTAATGTATTACGTTGGAATTATCAATGATATCAATAAACCAGATATAGAATCAATGAATACGAGATTCTATAGTGGAATATTAAATTATTTCTAATACTTGATAAAAACAAAAGAAAATTTTTTTTAAAAAGCTATAATATTAATGTATTATAATATTATATGCTATAATATAATGAAGTAATTGAATATTTATTAGTATGATGATTAGTTTGTATCATTAAAATATTTTCTTTTGGTTAAAAATTCTTGGGTTAATATAAAACAACGAAAAATCAATGTATCGGTTATTGAAGTAAAATAAAACTGGAGAATGCGTACAATGTATAATTTAAAAAAGCTACCTCTCTACCTGTAGTAGAACTATTGCTATAATCTTTTAATTTTTGAAAGTTTAAATTATCTATTCATCAATAGACATTATATATTTTATTCACTCAAGGTTAGAGAGATTCGCGTATGTTAGGATCTTGAGATGTAAGTGCATTGATGTTGTTGTTCCAAGTGTTCCTGATGTTCGAGGTTCGGGATCGGTCTGAGTGGTGGCAGGGAGGTGGCATTTATTGGATTTAATCCAAAAGTTGAGTGATAGTCGTAGCGGTAATAAGTATAGTCATCCCAGCGTGGATGTCGCTGAGTCTCGACGTAGGGAGTAGCAGTAGGAGTTGGACCAAGGTAAGTTGATGGTGGGCCTAGGTTCGGTTGTCTGCTTTCAACGTTGCTAGGCGTACCGTAAATGTGCTGTGGTTCAAGCAGGCTCTGTAAATGCCTGATGTACATTATTGCATGACGTAGGGACTCGATTTTGGAGAGCTTTTTCCCAGGAGGTTTGCAGACAGGTAGTTTGGAACGCAGCAATTCGAACGCTCGGTTCATATCGCGCATCCGTGTGCGCTCGCGATCACAGGCCGACTTTTTGTAATCTATAATTAATCAGAACATTCTGGTTTGTAACTTAATATTTCTACTAATATACATACCATATGTTTTATTATAATTATAAAAAAAGTAGTTACTAAAATAAACTATGTTTGTTGTAAGATTTGGAAAGAATTTTAAAGAGAATTTTAAATTAGGTGGCTACAAACATCGTATTTTATTAACATCTATTAGTTTTAAATTGAATGAATGATTATTTTGTATATATTTTATAAATACAATGAAATTTTTATTTCGTAATTTTTTCTTTAATTATATTATGTAGTCTAGAAAATCAATTGAATATATATGTTAAGAAAATTAGAACATATATTAATATAGCAAATTAATATAGTAATCAAATAAACGTATTATCAGAATGATTAAAAATATTATTACAACAATTATAATATATAAACACATAGATGTTTATTTAAATATGAAAATATTTTGAATCAAGAATCAGTATTTATAATTGTAAAAGATAATATTTAATATCTAGCATAATCCTATTACTTACAATGTTTTATTAATCATATTTATCCACTATATATATTAATAATAATGGTGATAACATAATTCTATATATATTAAGTATATATAATTTTTATAATTTCTATGGGTTACTCACAAATGTGCTTTTAAAGTCATGTGAAACCCGATTTGTACTTGATAATTTATCACAAATGCTTCCTGTAAATGAATCGATATTTATTCCTGCGTTACTTTTTACTAACTACGTTAGAATATATTTTTTTGTAATATTTCTAAAAATAAAATCCGTAAGTAATCCTAGAATCGTGTACAGTAAGTCTGAAGTAAATTTCATATAATAATGATGAAGAACACATATTTACATAATTCTATTTTCTACTATTTATTACTGATTTTCGAGTAGTTTTTCACACAAACCTTATAAATTTATTCTTATAATAAAGCATAAAACTTTGTAATAATGGTTTTTAATTAAAAAAAATTAAATTTTATATTGATATATCAATAATAATTATTAAATGAATATTTGTTATTTAGTATATGATTGATGTAGTTTTTCTTTAAATTTACAGACCCACCCACATGCACGCACGTACGCATAGCCGCATACACACGAGCGCGCGCGCGCGCTTACACACACATATATGTCAAATATACGCCTTACATAATATTTGGAGTTGTTTATTGCATAAATTTATGTATGTTTTTAAGATATTTCACTTTCTGTGTAAAATATTAATTAAATTGACTTGTTTTGCAAATAATTCATATATACATATATTACAAATGTAAAATTTAAAAATGTTAAAATAAGATAATATTTGAAAATAATATCAAAATATATATGAAATATATATTTTTAAATGTTTTAAATAAATTTATATAAATTTTAAACGTATACATTTTGTAATTCACATAATATTGATGGGGAATTAATAAATAAAAAGAAACCTACATTATTAGTTAATTTGCTAAGAACTTATAAAATTTCAGTTAAAATATTTTTTATTTTGTTTCCAACATAAATTTTTCTCATTAACAGATAAATTATGTATTTAAATATTAATAAAATACAATGTTCTAAATAATTACTCGTATAACGAAGATTCTTATTATATAAATGATAATTTATCTAATGAATACTTGTATCTGTACTAATTTTATATTATAATTACGTTTCAGGTATGATATTTTTTGTAGATATTTTTTGTAGATATTTTTTACATATAATTAAAAAATGTCATATGCATTAAGTATTCTTCGTTATCTTCGTTCCTTCTAATTAAAATGTATAAGATAATTACACGTGAAAATTAATTAAAAAAAAATGATAACTTAAAAACGAAGTTAAATAAAAAATAAAGACTATTGGATAAATGAAACTGTATCAAAATAGAATATATTATAGTATTCTATAGAATATACAATTTAATTTTTACACAAAATATTTTTGCTTCAATAAAGGCAAAATAAAATAATTAAATCCAAGGACGTAAAATGACTACAGATATCTACTGCTGTTTGTTTTTCTTTAAATATTGAAGAAATATGTTTTAAAGATAAAATTGATTTCTTGAGTAATGTATACATTTTATTTTTTGTAAATTTACGTTCTGTTTATTTATGATATTTAAAAGTCTTAAATGTTAGTATTATTTTGTAGCTAAAATAAAAATGATTAAATTTATCTATTCTAATTAAAAAGTTTATGTATAGTTTATATTTTTTGCAGCTATATGGGTAGTTTGTAAATGCATTTCTTCCTATTTGAATTAATTCAGTTTGTTAGTTATAAATAAATTGATTGATTTTTTTATTATATACACGTATACTCAATTATAAATCATTATTAAAAAAATAAAAAATACATTTTTGTAGAAGCACATAGATACATATATTTTATTAAAATATGTTGATAAAAGTCTAAAATTGTTAAGTTAATATATTTAGAAATTTAAAAAAATTATGTCATTTATTTATAAAATAAAACTTTTTATATATACATTAAATTTTTTAAATTATATGTATATAATAGGTTATCTGATTTTATAATTACATTTATTTGCATCTATTGTAATATCTATAAATTTGACAAATTTGTGTGTCCAACATATTTTTATTGGATAATTTAAAAATATTTTAAGTGAATCATAAAGAAGTATGAAAAATGGTATAGAATTTTATAAATTTAAAACGGACGAATCAGTTATATAAAACATTACATTGCAAATATGTGAACATGTCATATAAATTTATTCGAATAATCGTCTTATTATTTATATTACGAATTTAAATATTAATGGAACTTGTAGCAAATATGATAAAAGAAAACGTTCACCATGCTTAAGTGATGTAAATAAAAGATAAGATAATATATTTGAAGCTATAACCAATATATGCAAAAATGCAACTGAAAGTATTTGTAAATAGTTCTTATAATTTGATTGGAATTTATTGAACTAAAATTAACAGAACATAAATTTAGATTAAGAATTCTTGTATCATATTTAAATTTTCGTATGTTTGTTTTTATCTAATATATCAATTTAAATAACATCACCAGAATATAAAGATATTTTGAAGTTATGAATATAGATTAAACAGTGATCAATCTTAAATTAAAAAAATATATATAAGAAACCACGAATCGAGCATTTATACAGAAGAAAAGTAAAGATTAATGATTTAAACTACGTTACATCTTCTCTACATCTACGTTAATTATTTTATTTGATTTTCTGATACTAATAATACTAATTATAATTAGATTGCTGATACTAAGAATTATGATACAAATTAGAAATAATTTAATTTCTAAATAAATTTCTATATTACCGAATGCTAATATTTAATATTAATATACGATTGTATAATTGTGATTTAATTATGTCTAATAATGTCAAGTGAAATTAAAAATAAACTATCATAATAAATTAGTAACTGATATTAAAAAAATGTTTCAGTCAAACATTACTTATTAACAATTATAGGAAAAATGTTCGGTGTAAGACTTCAATTATTATTTGAATATAAAATAGTTTACATTGGTAATATGCATTTATATATTAATAATATATATTTTTAAACACAAATTTGTCGTTCATAATTTTATTTTATTTTGATTTATTACAATTTTTAAAAAATCTTATTGGATGATGTTTTTAAATATCTGCTAAGCTTAAATATAACACGTTTTTAAAATACTAAAAACTAGTATTTTTATTTAAATGAAAACAATATTATAAATTAAATATTTTAAAAATATCTATTCAAATTCTTTTGAACATTAAATTCTATGGTTTTTTTTTATTAATTTATCAGGAAAAATTTCACTGTGAAAACTTGTTTTAGTAAACTAAATCAATGAATAAAATTTCATTTGATTGAAAAATTTTACCTACATTTTTGACAAATAAGTAAAAATAATATATAATTATATATGCTAAATGCTAAATTGTATTTTTTAATACTTAATTAATTTAGTTAATAGAATCTTTTTATTTATTTAATATTATTATGTTTAATATTTTATTTACTAATTAAATATTATAAATAAAATATAAAAAAATAATTAAATTTTTAATTTACTATTGTAATTTACGAATGAAATATTGTTAAGATATGTTTTTATTAAATTTTAATCTTATATAAAATAAATGAAAGATGATAAAAATATAATTAATTTAATTGTAAAATTATATTAAAATTTGTTATACAATTGCATCTATAAACAATATCTATTTTACATAAATGTAATCTGTTAATCATAAGTTGAAACCGATTAATATAGTTTAAATTTGAATTATTTTTTAAAATATTATTTTTTTTAATAAATACTTAATTTAATGAATGTACACAATTCATACGGAGAAATTTGAAAATGATATTGCATACGTTATGATCGGCTGTCGTATAATTACAAGGATAATTTAATTTTTACGAAGTACTGAAATACTTAATAAATAACTGATAATATTCATTTATGTATATAATATAAATATTTATTTCTTTCTTATCCTAGATACAAAATTAAACGCTTTCCAATGATTTAGTCAATCCTTGTTACACTCTTAGCGAATAATAATTGAATAAAAGTATATCGATAATAGGATAAAAGTTTATACCGATCTGTTATGAGCGCTGCCCAAATAAATGCTTCAACCGCTAAGATACTTCAAAATCTTGATACATAAAATAAATATGAAATATCTATACATAGATAACTAGATATGATAGATGAATGGCATTGTATTTAATGCACCAATGTATCTAAGATTCTAAACCAAATTTAATTTCCGCTTCCAATGATGCCCTTGTACATTTACTATCGTATTTTAAATACAAAAGTAGGCGTAGAGCGGTTTCTATTCGAGGTAGTGACATTTTATTAAGGACTTTTTTGGCATTGGAAAGTTGAGGTACATTGTTTCAAATATATGCATGATTCCATAATTATTAGCAAGAGTATCTTAATTGCAAAATTTGACAGTCTAAGAAGAAACCCGTGAATAATGTATTACAGGCTAGAAAGCTTGAAATCGAGAATGTGTAATACAAAAAAATATACAGTAATTGAAAGATAGCTGATAAGCTTTTTAATTAATTGTTAAAGCAGTTACGGGTTTAACAATGTATGTTATCGAAGTGCTTGCTAGAATGCACTGAAATTACTACTACTAATTTATCGTAGCTTTCGTATTTGCTTTGGTTAATTAAAGTTATTAAATATCACTTGATTCATATTTATTTTTCATTGGTATTTCATATATTTCTGTATTTTTTCAGTACAATATAAAAAAATATTAGTGTATTTAAAAAGTTTTATGCTAACATTTTTCATGAAAAAAGATTTATATTTATTAATTAGATGGTAAATTAAATACATTTAAGTTATAATTTGGTTAAGTTATAACTTTATAATTATATTTTAATTATGTATTTATATTTTTATATTTTTCTTTATATATTTAAATTATAAGTTGGTTAAGTTATAATTTTAGAATTATAATTAATTGGCTCAAATATTTTATGAAAAAACAAAATAAAGTAAAATTTTGTAGTTTATGAGTTGTTAGTAAAAATTAGGTACTCTACCTTATAGTTGAAGTTTTAAAAAATACAAACCCTTTTCTGTTTGCGATGGTTCGCGATGTATGGATTTTAGATTTTTTTCTTGTAATAGGTCCGAATGAGAAGTGGATTCAACAATTTCGCTCTCCAATATACGTATAACTGAAACTACATCAGTGGTTTGATGAATACGTTGATCAAATGCTGCAGCGTCTTGCCATCGCTTTCGCAAATTATGTCGACGAATAGTAAGATCCTCTTCAGTTAACTCTAAAATATTCAGTTCATTAAACTTTTATTCATTTATTAACTAATTGGCTAATGTATACAAAAGTCTACAAGAAATTAATGTTAATATATTGATTTTTTTTATTGTATTAAATGTTCATATATATCAAATGTAAATATATTTACATAAAGTTAGTAACTTAATTATTAACTTAATATTTCAAAGAGGAATAAGATATACAAAGGCAGTCAAAATATTCTAGATTCATAGATATTTATAATTGTATTGAATTACTTTATATAGGATGATATATTGTAATATATAATTTAATTTTCAAAATTTAAATCATAATATTAATAATAATTGAATTATTTTGCACAAATAATATATATGATTCGATTTTCTTTATTTAAAGTCAATTATTCTTATTAAATATTAAATATTATAAGTATGTACAAAACAAATATTTTGTATTATTTGAAACCTGAAGAATGATGAATGGAGTTTGGAATGTTATTTATCGAGCTAAAAGGAGATTCTTTAAATTGAAGTTTTTGTTGCTGTTTAGAATTTTCATCAAGATCCAATATCATCGGCGATTGATTGTAATGATCCTCATTATTTTCATGTTCAGACTATAATAAAAATGATTTCACTTTTATAAAGATAAGTATCCATAATATAAATCTATAATACATTAATTGTGAAAAATTTTTATTTCATAAAATGATGTAAAACATAAAAAATCACATTAGTATTGACTAATATTTTCTTGAATTAAAACATACAATAAAGATATATTGTTATTAATAATTAACTTATATTTCTTTTTAATAAACATCAAAAATTTTTGAAAGTATAGTATTATGGAACTAAAATATTTTTTAAATAATTGCATAAAATTCTTATCTGTTTAATATTGTATCTATTTAATATCTATTTAATACTGTATCATAATCTAAAATTTTATAAGTTAAAATAATCTTAACAATTTAAAATAATCAAAATGTATAATTGATTACAATTATATATTAAATTTAACACGTATGTTTAAAATTTTTTATCATATTTTCTACATATTATGGACATAATTTCTATATTATTTTAATTATGTACAAAATCTCAGAAAGATACTTATGATATTATAGAAGTACAAATGGGGCCAAGATATACATGTGAATTATTATCTGAATTTTTACTACAATATATTCAAAGTATTTTGCTTTCTTTATTATTCAATAACTTTAATTTTAGAGACAGCTTTCTATAATAAAATTTAAAAATACTAATGGTATAAATTAATTCTAATAAAATAAATTTTTGTTAAAATATTAAATATCTTAATTACTTTTCAATATATCAAACAAAATACAAGTAAAATTAGAAAATTATATAATCAGTAATTGATAATTGAGTGATTTTTATAATTCTTAATGTCAGTGGTGGAATCAATTTTTAGTTGAAATTTGAGTTCATGAATTTGAAATAAACTCTAAATTTCATAATAATTTGGAAAATATGTTTAATTTCCACATTTTTCTTTAGAGAAGTTTTTAAAATTGCAGTTATCGCAGAAGTATTCGATTCTTATTAATTATTACCTCGGTTTTGTTTGAAAATCGATTTTGGTATTTCTCAGAATTTCTTTCCATATTTTTAAAAAGTCAAAAATTTTATATTATAGGTTAAATTATTTAAAAAATTTTAATAAAATCAAATAAACTATGAATATGATTGAACAACAGACTCCATCTATTCCCTTCAAAGTTTCTTCTTCTACTAAATTTGTCCTAAGAAAATTGTAGATTAAATGCAGACATATATTATTAATGCTCATTTTATACGTTTATTAAGTATTCAGGTGTTCAAACAGAGCCTCTCATAACTAGTGTTCGGAGGGTTATATTTAAAATTCTGTCTTTTTTCAATAAAAGAAGAATATAATAATACAAATAATACGCGTTAACTAACAAGTCCTTCATCATTCAAAAAACGTACGATCGTTGCGAAACAAAACAATTCCGTATTATACATATTTTTTTTTATCGTATCATTAATTATTATATCAATCTACCTTTACTGTGTTAATAAAGCTATATAAGAAAAATAAAACCGTGAATAGAAACGTAACAAATATCTTTATTGAGCGATAATTGCTCAAAAATTAATGAATAGATTTTGTGCATCAGTATTTATAGTATATTATAATGCAAATATATATACAAATATACATTTGCATATATACAAATGATAAGCATATATATATATATATATATATATATATATATAAATGATAAGCACATATATACAAATGATTTCAGATTCTTTACATGTACAAAAAATGTGACACTCGCAAGATTTTAACTTTGATGTATATTAATTTAAGCATGAGAATTACTAAGTATACTTACAGCTGTGGTATAGGGACAATAATATAAATAAGTATTCAAAATGACACAATAGATCTTTTTTGATGGAAATACTATAAAATTAGTAGCTTATAGAAAATGTGAAGGAAGAGCAGATAAAACCACCCGTAGAACATACCATGGGATTATATTACTTAGTATTTTCATTTTAATGATGTTTTCAAAGCAATAGTTACTTATACATAACGACTAATTTTTTTTCTATTATAATTGAACCATAGTAACTTTTTTATGTACCTATAAGTCATGAATAATATTTAGATCCCTAAATTTTTTATTCATTTTTCTAGCAATGAACATTTTATGTATATTATATTCTAAAACTCATTTTATATATAATTAAAAAAAAAAATAATATAAATTTAAGGAATAAATTTATAATATGTTTATTTTTATTATTCCACAAAACATTTAATATGTATAACTCCATCAATATAAGTATGCTAATATATAATGTATTACATAAAAATATAATATGTAATAGAATATTTATCAATTTATTTCTGAAAAATAGTAATCATTTTATAAAATTATTGTAAGAGCTTCTATTATAATGTAAAAAGTATAGTAAGTAATTATCGCTAAGTAAATGTTTTTATAAAAATTTTTATCTATCATTAAATTAAAAATTCTATTTTATTTATATAGTTTTTTTTAATGCTGTTTTAATAATAAAAATTAATCAATAAAATATTGAAGATAGAATTGGAGCCGAAATTAGATAATTTATTTAAAAATAGTAATAGCATTTTATACATAATTAGTATTGATTATATATAAATCTATTTATAATAGATAATAATGTTGATTAATTAAACATATTGTAAGTAAAAGCATTTTTTAATTAAAATAATATAATTTAAAACGTTGATCAATGTATCAAATATTTAATTATGAATATTGAATGTACTTTTTTAGTTTCATGACATTTTTTAAGTATGTCTATATATAAATTTAAGTTTAAATTTTTATATTACTTTAATTACAACCATTTTATTAATTTGAATTTTTCTAAAGTTTTTCTGAAAATTTAAAGAATTTCAACTTTAAACTTCACATTTAGAAGATAATCCCATTAACAGGATTTCATAGAATTTAATTTATACTGTATATAATGAATATCTAAATAAAAATTTTTTATTTAATGTTAAATAAATAATATAGTATTAAGAAGTTAAGGTATATATTTTAATACGTAATTAATTTTACTGATTCTCACCAATTACATAACTTTATGTAAGGAAGTATTATTATATACCTTTCATTTTAAAGTTTTAAGTTTTTTATTTAAAATTAAAAAATACATTTAATTTTATAAGTTTGAAAAAGCAACAGTTTTAAACTAATTAATTTCATTTTTAATATTTATTTTTTTGTTTTTTTAATTAAAAATTTTTAAACCCTGAATTTTAATACTCAATTAAGAATTTATCATATTAATACACGTATTAATAATTAATTTCTTTCATAAATGAATAATTTTAGTAAAACGTTAAACTAAACATTAGTGTTGAATAATAAGCTCAAATACTTAATCTTAAATACTTATATAATATATATATATATATGTTATATATATATATGTATGTGTGTGTGCGTGTGTGTGTGTGTATAATATAATAAATAATATATACTTTTATAAATTCTCAAATACTTATATAATGGTTTCGGTTTTACAAAGAGAAACTTTGTTCGTTCATCTTATTGTTTCTTTACAGAGAAGTTGCTCGCCATTATTTTTATGCAGAATTTTCTGAGCTAAAATTTTTTCGTAATATACAATTAACATTTTCAAAAGTTTCAAAAGTTATGAGCGTAATATAATTTAATATTAATTAGTCACAAAAAATCATAATTTATAATTTTTGTTAAAAAGCATGTTATGAAAGTTGTTTAGGACGTTTATTTTCCGATTATTAAAATTCATTTTACAATTAAAAAAGAACAATTTAATTTGAAACAGCAGTTGAAGTATTAATGAGTCATGGACTCATGAATAGATGAATCGACAATATTTATTAAATGAATTAAATGTCGAAAAAATTACTTCAACATTATATTATAAATATTAAATTCCTAACATTATATAATGTATGTACATTTCTATGAATTATGAACATCATATTTTTGGCATGGATGTGTAATATATGTATTAATATTAATCTAATTTTTAATCAATAAAATATTATACGCGTGAAATATAAAAGCTCTATAAACTCGCTGGCAATGTTGATCAATTAAAGATTGACTATGCTTATTTAATATTACCAATGTATAATTATAATTAGTGCATGACAACGGGCTTATAAAAATGACGCATTAGTTCCGTTTGCGAATCTCACATATGTGTTGCTATAACTATATATATATTTATAAGTGCCAGCATACGATTAATTATATGTACACAAATTTTTGTGATTAACGATCTTAGATATTTATCTCTAGATTGGGTATTGAAAAATTATACTATTTGATAAAACTTTCGTTTTTATCATATAATAATAATATATTATTATTAACATATATTATAACGTATATTATTATGAGTACAATCATGACACAGGATACTTTCATTGGAAATATTTCATATTTCGTTGTCAATTTTTATAACTTTCAACGAAAATATTTTATTGCAATTATGGAACTTAATAAATCATAGACAAAAAATTATATATTGTATCATATGTATTTTAATTTAATAATTTTGATGAATCATATTCAAAATTTACGAAGCATTTATTTAATTACACTTAATTTTTATAAATATATTTTAATTCTATAAGTTATTTTGTTCATGACTTATATAATTTCCTGAAATAAAATTTTTCATTCTGAAATATAAAACATCCAAATATAGCGATGGCAGAGAATTTTTATCAATTTAAAATATTTTTGGTTATAGTTAATGTTATGATTATAATTTATAAGAGTACTGAAGTGTGAATTTATACATTTTGTCGATTTCGAATCCTAATTAATATATCTAAGTTTATGATATATAAAATATTTAATATAAATGATATATTATTTAATATAAATATATTTATTAAAATTAAAGATATTGATATTTCAATGACAATAACTATTCATGAACCATAAAATAATAAAAAGTTCAAAATAACTGGAAATAATTTGAAGTATTGATATATATATATATATATATATATATATATATATATATAATGAATATATTGATTATTATGTAAAAATGTTTAATAAAAATATTAACTAAATTGTTATCTACTCAAATTCCGTCTCATGTCATGTTGTTGTTGAAATATCTATAAATGCAATTATAAAACAATCGTATAAAGATAAAATTGCACGAGGATTTTAATGTTGATTATTAAGAACGATTATTACAAGATTAAAACTTTTTTTTTCAATGATCCAATTATTTAGTATTTATCTAATATTAATTCACTTAATTTATCTGTAATTAAAAAATTAAATGCTTAATAATAGAAAAACTATATATTCATATAACTATATAAATATATGGAATATGAATACTATAATATTTAATGTTCGTACTTGCATTTTGCTACAAGGTAGTTTAACAGTTTCTGCTATGAAGATGCTAGAGGGCGCATATAAAATTACTAGAAAAATCAAGATTGCTAACAGGATGTGGATTTGTAATATAGCACTAAACTCATCAACATCACATCATGCCATATATCTTGCCATGATATATAATCGAATTACAATTAAATTATTAATACTTCTCATTCGTTTGAACAGTATTATTTTATTAAATTTATGCATAGTCGTATTAAGTACGATAACTTCTATTTAATAATTTTTTAAATTCTTATACAGTTAAACTGATGTTAAATTAATTGTATATATATAATTTATTGTTCATTTACATTGTTTAAAACTTATACTTCAAAAACATGATATTCCATAATAGGTACTTGAATGTTCAACTTACTTTTATAAAGAACATATGTAACGTATTCAGACAAAAATTCTTTGTCGCGCATTTCTACTGCTTCCTTTGTTCCCTCGTCAAACGCGTCATTTTCTCAAACTAATTTATCCGAGTATACTTATATTTTTATTCTATAAATAGACCATTTATATTATGATTTATTTGTTTAGAATACAGACAATTAATATATTGAAATATTTCTTTTACATGGCTAATAAATGTATCGTTATTCGAAAAAATATTGTTAAAATTATGAATGTTGGATATATAAGAATAAGAATATTTTAAATTTGCATTTAAATGTCTGTAGTATTTATACTTGTATTTAGTGCATAAAACTTTCATTGCACATAATATGTAAGATACATAGCACGAAAGATCCTGTCAAAGTTTTTAAAA